AAGTTGTACCATAGAAGATAGGGATCTATCTGAGGTTGTTTTAATCATCACAATGACCAAATCTTTTCTAAGTTTTTGACAGCTAATACCAAAAACATCATGGAGGATGAATTCACAGGAGCAGAAGAGTGAGGGTACCAACTAGCCAAGTATTGATCCTTCTGCTCCTCACCATCCATTCCCCGTCGTTCTCCAGGAACAGTCTGTAGCAGCCAAAAGGTTCCAGAAAAAAATAGACAAAAAATTCAGGGCCCTTCAATTAAATGGATAATTGGATTTCTTCCTCTTTTGTCTTAAAAAGAATATATCAAAAATGGTTATATTTATAAGAATCTCTTTGAAAATAGAGGAGTAAATAAGATGATACTTGTTCAATTCAGCAAATGTGGACACCAACTATATGCAAATTCCATGCCAGAAGTTTGTGGGAGGATATACAGTCACTTAGTCATTCAACTAAAGTTTATCGAGAAACTACACTAATCTAAACAATATCCTTATTCTTGGGATACAACAAGAAACTAAAGGCATAGTTTTGCAGATCTTGATGCTTACATCTAGTAAGGACTTCAAATATTAACTAAATTATCCACACAAGTGCATAATTTTTTAAGTGGTATAAAAATTATGGAGGAATCTTGTAATCCTAGCACTTTGGGAAGCCAAGATGGGCGGATCACGAAGTCAGGAGATCGAGACCATCCTGGCTAACATGGTGAAACCCCGTCTCTACTAAAAGTACAAAAATTAGCCGGGTGTGGAAGCATGCCTGTAGTCTCAGCTACTCAGGAGGCTGAGGCAGGAGAATCGCTTGAACCTGGGAGGCAGAGGTTGCAGTGAGTCGAGATTGCGCCATTGCACTCTGGCCTGAAGACAGAGCGAGACACCGTCTCAAAAAAAAAAAAAAAAAAAAAAAAAATGGAGGAATCTAATTAAGAGTTGCAAATAGCTATAAGACACTATTTCTGTCATTAGATACATTTTTTTAAATATCAGAAACATGATTTGCAAATAGTTTCTCCCAATCTGTGGCTTGGTTTTTATTTTCTTAACAAGAAAGCAGCAAATTGAGGATTGTACACCTTGGGATGATGGAAGACGTGATCAACTAAGAATGTGGATCTGTGGAAAGGAAGCTTCTGATGGCATGATACAGCAAGCTACACAGGAAATAAAATCGAGAGACAGGTGGAAAGGGTTAACCCTGGAAAAGAAAGGTGGCACTTCTACCCTGGAAAGTGAAAAAGAAGTGTGTATGGGGGTAAGGGAGTATGAGAAGATAGGTGAAAATATACTATCATTTTGAGATAAAAGGGAAGGAACTGGAGTGAGTTTGTATTAGCTTCCATTTGAAGAAGAGGGAAAATAGATACTGGAAGCTTGAAAGATAGACATTTTTGGACCACTGCTATCTAAAATGAGCTAGGAAGTCTCCTGTGGAGGGGTAAATAATTAATGAGTAACTTCAGGGTCCAGTGGAGGGAAAACTCTAATCTTTCATGTGTGAGATCTGCGACCAGAAATCTGCAACATTCGAGTTGAAGAGAAGTCAATGAGTGACTGGATCTATTAGTCAGTGTCCTGGCAGGAAAATAGCCCAGTCCAAAGAAGTGTGATTGGAGAGAATTTTTTGTTTTCATTTTTTATTAAAATAAACTTGCACAGTGTAGATGTTTATAATTTTAGTGAAGCCCAATTTATCAATTTTTTTTTCATGGATGGCATTGTTGGTGTTGCATATAAAAACTTATTTCCAAACCCAAGGGTATCTAGATTTTTTCCTATGTTATCTTCTGGAGTTTTATAGTTTTACGTTTTACATTTAGATCTGTGATTTATTTTGAGTTAATATTTGTAAAAGCTTAAAGGTCAGTGTCTTGAGTCACTTTTTTTGCACGTGAATGTCCAATTGTTCCAGCACCATATGTTGAAAAGATATTCCTATCCTAAGAAATTTACAATCTAGTAAAGGGTATAAGGCCAGCACACAAATGAATGACTGAAATGACATTTAACTAAGATATCTGTCCTAAAGGATGTATAGAATTGTGCTGAGGAGTGTAAAAGAGGTGACATTTAAGGTGGATTGTGAAAAGTGAATAAGGTTTTATCATACAGATGGGGCTGAGGAGGAAATAACAGAAACAAAATGACAGGTGAAAAAAGCACAGGGATGTATAGTTTAAGAAACAGAAACAAGTCCAGTTAAGCTAAAGTGTAAAAGTGTACTTTCTGGCAAACACACTGGAAAGACAGATTGTGTAATGTTATGGAAGGCCTTGAATGAGTTTCATGTGATGAGTCATTGAACAAATATTTATTGAGGGCCTACTGCATGCCAGGCACTGTTACAGCTGCTGGGGATACAGCAGTGAACAATACAGGTACTCTGTCTTACTATTACAATAAAATCTAGATTGGTATTATATTAATTACAATCTAATAGGAGATGAAAGAGGACAAGGTAGAATGTGAGAGGTGATGAGGAGAACTGGCGGAGAAGCCAGTGGCTAAAAATAGAGCAGGAAAAGGGTGATGAGAAGTTCTGGAGAGAAGCCACTAATTCACAAGGGCTCACCAGGAAAAGACTCTGATTAATGTAATATTGAAAGAAGCCCATAGGAATCAAGAAAGAGCTTTACAGGTAGCAAAGAAAATGGCATTCCACTCAGAGGGAACAGCATGTACCAAGGCTGTGAAGTAGAAGCATGCTTAACGCATTCAGAAAACAGTAAGGAAGCCAATGAGGTTGGAAAGAATTGAGTAGGAGGGATATTAGAAACAGATAATGTTAGAGAAATAATAGGGGTGTTGAGGGAGGCACAGATGCACAAATCATATAGACCTCGTAGGCCATGGTACGACGTTGGATATTCCTTTCAGTAATAATGGGAAGATCAGGAAGTTTGAGCAGAGTAGTGACATGACGTGACTTATTTTCTTGAAGATCACTCTGGCTGCAGTGTTGGGAAGAGTGTCAGAAGGTAAAGGTGGCAGCAGGGAAATCCCTTGGGTGGCTGTTACAGCAGTGAGAAGAAATACAGTGGGGGGTGGTGGGGAGAAATGCCTAGCCCTAGTTAGAATTTGATGATAGAGGTGATGGAATTTGTATACAGATTGCATGAGGGGTGTGAGAAACAGAAGAGCCAACGATGTCTCTAACATCCTGAACAATCAGAAGAAAGGAGTCACCATTGACTGAGATAAAGAATCACAGAGAAGGAGTAGGTTTGGAGGCAGAGTATTTAGGAGCGTGGTTTTGGATGTGTCTGTCTCTGCAAGTGAATTATCACATAAGCATTTATATGCAGAAGTCTGGAGCTAGTAGTTATCAGTGAATGAGTGGTATGTAAGGCTATGAAATAAGGAAGTGAATGTAGAGAAGATAACTTCAAGAACTGAAACTTGGGAGACCCCCACAATGTAACAGAAAGATAAGGAAAAAACAGAAAAAGATACTCAGACAGAGATGCCAGTGAGATAAGGAAGAGAATCAAGAGAGACTTACAGGAGACCAAGGCAAAGGTATTCAAGAAAGCCTTTGTTAAATGCTGCTGGTAGATTAGGTAAAATGAGGACTTAAAATTGACCATTAACAAAAGCTGCTTCCATAGAGTGTCAAGATGAAAGCCTGAAGAAACTAAGTATAAGCCAGGCGCGGTGGCTCACGCCTATAATCCAAGCACACTGGGAGGCCAAGGTGGGCGGATCACTTGAAGTCAGGAGTTCAAGACCAGCCTGGCCCACATGGTGAAACCCCGTCTCTACTAAAAATACAAAAAAAATTAGCTGAGCTTGGTGGCCACGCCTGTAATCCCAGCCGCTCAGGAAGCTGAGGCAGGAGAATCCCATGAACCTGGGAGGTAGAGGTTGCAGTGAGCCGAGATCGCGCCACTGCGTTCCAGCCTGGGTGACAGAGCAAGACTCATCTCCAAAAAAAAAAAAAAAAAAGTATACATAATTCTTTTGAGGATTTTTACTATAAAGCAAAGAAATAGAACAGCAGATGGAGGAAACTGGAAGTCAGGGGAGGGCAGTTTGTTGTTGTTTGTGGGATGGGTGATATAACAGAAAATTCGATGATGTAGGAATGAGAGAAAAAGCAGTGGGAATGATGTCCTTCCCTAAATGAGAGAGGACAGAAGCTATTATAGTAAACAAAAGGAGTAGTCGGCTTAGATAGGGGAAGGGGCAGTTTATTAATAGGCTTAAATTTCTAAGCAATAAGAAACCATTAAAGTTTTCTGAGTGAGTGTTAAGATTCTTAATAACCCTCATAATCTATATATTCCTTCCCCTTCTACCAAGGGGCAAATCCAGATACTTAAGAGTATATCCAAAAATAGATACCAGAAATACAATTATCCTCAAAATAAAATGGATGTCCAGAAAAGTTTAAATAAACCATTGTGTTTCTCTCAGCAATTTCTTCAGCCTTTGTGTTAAATCAAGATCTTTATGCTGTTTTTGAAACTTGTTGAAATGTTTTACTTTGAAAATAAACTTTTTGGTACATGAAATCTATTTTTACACACATCTAACCTTCTGAAAATTTGTAATGTGATTTATTTTGTATTCCTGTTAAATTTTGCTGAATAATAATTAAAAATGACCATACCTTGACCACCAGTGGCCTAACACTACCTCCAACAAAATTAGGAATGTAATGAATTCAAACCCTTCAGACTCATCACCTTGTAACAGATTCGATCACACAGAAATTTAGAGGAAGCTTTAAAACAAATCATATAAAGATAGTTCTTAAAGGAAATTATGTACTATTGATAATCCATGAAGTAAATTCTGTAATTTGCATTTTTTTCCAATGGAAAGGAGTAAACAAACAGTAAAGATCAAATATATTAGGATATTTTCTGGTATGTTATCATTGAATTTAATAAACAGATTCACAGAGGATTTTCAGTGTCATATGTATCTAAAACTTACTTCTACTATGATCAGTAATCAGTTCTTAAATCAGAAAGCATTTTTCTCCACAGACATGAACGTATTTACACCAAGAAAGGGAACTTCAACTGGTCTCTAATATCCAATCTGAAGGATGTAGATGATTTAGCAACCCTAGAAGTTTTGGATGAGGTAAGAATTTCAGTTGAATTAAATTTAGACATTGCAGATGTTTTGTTAATTTATAGAAAACACAAGTATTGGTAGAAGAGGAAGGAATATATAGATTATGATGGTTATTAAGAGTCTTAACACTCACTCTGCCCATTTCTTCCATCTGTAAGTCTCATGCTTTCTTTGTCTCTTAGCTTCCTATTATTTCTCTTATCTTCAGTTTTAATCTATATAACTCAAATTTACAGATCTTTCCAGCCTAGTGTTCATTTTTTTCTGATGCTCAACTGTCAGGGGTGAAGTCCTCGCAGTATAAGTTGTTAGGCCACAGATCTTCCTTCTTTTTCATTATTTGTGGGAGTCTCAAAGATACGATTTATTGTATTCAAAGAGCAGTCAGCCCACTGTAACCACCATGTGGTGGCCTCCCCCTTTTTCCTCTCTTGTTTCAGCTCTCAGTGGCTGTACCAGAAACTCCGAATACCTCAACAGCCTGTCTGTTACCATGGTCAGTGTTCTTCCTCATGGGATCACAAAACCCTTGTTTCACACAGCTTATCTTTCAGGGGTATTGAATTCTGCTTGGAACTCCTTATTCTAATTATCTCAGAAGTATTTCAAACATTTTTTGTGAAGGTACAGATCCAAGCTATTAAATTCTAGTCTCAGCCTCCTTTCCCCTCACCCTTCTTTATTCCACAGTTCTTTATTCCACGTAGTCAGATCATTAGAGAAATAAATGCCCTCTTTTTAGGACTTCTGTCCTGCCTGATGAACACCTTTTTTATTTTTTTTACACTGCTGATACATGCCTGAGCATTTGACTCAGAAAGGTACCAATCAAGAGCTAAGTTCTGAATAGAGGTAGTCATTTGGTAAATTTAGGGTTGCATAAACAACTCAAGTACTTCCTCAAAATAATCTCAAGATCATCAAACATCTTGAAATCAAATCATGTTGGCAAGTCAGAGACTGCAGACACCTTTCTGAATTCTTACATATAAAATTTTTTAATAATGTGAATTCCTAGGCTTGTGGATTGCAAAGAAGTTTTCACTAGATCAATATATTAATATATTAAATGGTAGATTTGTTTCTGTTGTCTATGTTTTATTTTTAGTTTCTTTTTGGACCTAAGATATTTTGCTCCTCTCTCGTGTCATGTACTATAAATGGTGGTTTTCGACATTATCAACCCCAATTCATTTGCTCAAATGACTTATCAACTATGAAAATTACGTTTAAAAATTTTTCACAGTACTTCATAAAGCCAAAAGTCTGGGGAAAAAAAAAAAAAAAGGACTAGGACATTCCATAAAGCCACTGGATCACCTTGATTTGAAATTAAATCATGTTCACTCCATCTTCCCTTCCCTTTTCTCTTTACTTCGTTGTTAATCTTTACGTCACTTACTGCTATTACTTCTTTTCTTGAAAGCATTATATATTTAAAATTCCTGTGACATATAATATGTCCTCTGGAAAATGCAGGTAACAATGACATCCACCGTCTCAAAACCAAAAGAAATGCCTGTCAAGTGAATGAGTAGTTGCAAACCTGATGTTATATATTTTTTACTATCAATGTGTCTATTTTTCTAATCCTTGGTCCAGATTCCAGATGTTCTGTTTATTATTGTTTACTTTTTAAGTTGTAGTTGACCACAAATAATTTTTAAGAAGGAGAAATTATTTTATTTTATTGCAGAATACAGTCTCAGAGCAACTTGAGAAGTGTTATTCCAGAGATCAGATCTATATCTATGTGGGAGACATACTCATTGCTCTTAACCCTTTTCAGAGTCTGGATCTTTACTCCACAAAGGTATGTCATATGGGGTGCATTCTCTTACTTCATACACATAATTATACCTTCAGATACTTAAATTAATTTAAATGAATGCCAGAAAAATTTTATCCACTATTTTGAATAAACAGTTATATAATTGTTATTAAAACATAGAACTAGGAAAAGTAGAAGATGGAGTCAATCTGGGTGCAGTTTGTGGTCTTCCTTTCTCCAAATGTGTGTGCCAGAGTGTTTATTACATTCAGTTACTGGTAACGGATCTACATTAAATATTGTGTCACTAAACAGATGCCTTTAAAAGCATATACTTAAGTCTGCTTTAAAAGGTATGTACTTAATGTATGTCTGCCACTGAACCGAGTATGTGCATCAAAAGTGTAATTACATTGTTTATGTAGATAATACATACTTAATGGCTATAAAAATTGCCACTATGAGTTAAAAATTCCTTTTGATGTATTATTGGCTTCATTAATATCACACACATGTTTTATGAATATGAATATATAATTATCAACTATTCAACCCCTAATGGCTTAAATATAGAATACTATTCTGGAATTAAGCAAGGTTGTTTTTCATTTTTAATTGGACTCATTCTCTTCTGGCTATTTGTGTACTTCAGAAAATTATTTAATACTGTTCCTAATAGTTATTTTTGTGTGTGAAAAGTACATATCTCTGTCATCTTTTACCATCCTAAAATTTATAGGAATAACAGTAAATTTATGAGCCCTGACCTATGTTTCAGATGATTCAGGCTTTAGTGCAATCCTACTATCAATTCACTGTGTGATCGTGGACAAATCAAATGAGAGAATGTATGTTAAATGATGTGAAGGGAAAAAAATGGTGGTCATATGTGAGACATTATTATATCCAAGGAGCAGTTAACAAACTGAAACCTGATCGTCTTATTTTTAATGAATGCTTTCACTTAAGTAAATAATGGAATTTTGAAACCTTACGTTCTGCTTTGGAAGTACAATGCAGAATCTTTTAAATTACTTTGTGTCATATCATATTTCTGGGCTGTTTTGTGTCAGGCTTTTATTTTACATAGTTATACATTTAGATATATGTGTAGTATGTGTGTAACATGTATGTAATGTTTTGGTGGTATAAAATGGCATTTTCATTTATACTCTGCTTTAAAAATTGGAGCTATATTTGTAAATAATTCAGGACTTAAAAAAACAAAAAGCCCTACAAATGTATTCTTTTTAACCCTTAGCATTCCAAACTATATATTGGATCAAAGAGAACTGCCAGTCCTCCTCACATTTTTGCAATGGCTGACTTAGGATATCAATCTATGATAACATATAATTCAGATCAGGTAAGAAGAGTCTCCCATTCTTAGAAATTTACCTCATAGTTTCTTAAATGTCACCTGAATTTTGAAGATAAGGTCTTCTCACAGTTTTCTTTTCTATGTGTAGTGCATTGTTATTTCTGGAGAAAGTGGTGCTGGAAAGACAGAAAGTGCTCATCTTTTAGTTCAGCAGCTGACAGTGCTTGGAAAGGTATAATTCATTTTTTTCTCTGTCTCATCAGAAATATTTGTTGAATTTCAGAACTTAATATAACTCATTAATATTCTCTAGTATCTCACATTTAATAATGTACAGAAATTTTAAAATACAGTTGTTATCCTTTGAGAGTTTAAAATAATGAGCAATATGAAAAGCATGTACTCTGTTTTGAGGATTTTCTAACTTTTAGCACACTTATTAGCAAGGCTTATAAATGTGATTATCATTCTTTTTAGTCCCAGTACATTTATTGAATGCTTTCTTTACTTTTTCTCCTTTTGTTGCTAGCAGGTTAAAAGACAGTCAACATACAAAAATCAGTTGTATTTACATACTATATATGTATACTAGCAATGGTCAATTACAAATTGAATCTTAAAAGTGCCATTAACAATAAAATTAAAAAACCATGACCTATGTAGATCTAAATATTATTATATATGTGCAAGATTTGTATGCTGAAAACTGAAAGAGTTAAAAGAAATAAAAGACCTAAACAAACGAAGAGGTGTATCATGATCATGGATTAAATGACTCAATATTATTAAGATGTCAGTCTTCCACAAATTGATCTGTAGATATAATGCAGTTATGATAAAAATCCAATCAGGATTTTTTATTTTTTTGGTGGGAATTGACAAGGTGACTCCAAAATATATAATGAAAGGCAAGGGAACTAGAATAACCAAACAATCTTGAGAAAGAGCAAAGTTGGAGGATTCATACTACCTTATTTCCAGATTCGCTGTAAAGCTGCAATAGTCAAGACGATGTGTCATTAAACAGAATAGAGAGGCTACTCGCATATGGTTTATTGATTTTTGACAAAGGTGTAAAATTCGTTAATTAAGAAAGGTGGTCTTTTCAACAAATAGTGTTGAAATAATTGGATAGTCCCATACAAAAAAATTAACATCAATCTATACTCACATGTTATACAAATTTTTAACTCAAAATGCATCATAGATCTAAACATAAAACCAAAAGCCATAAAATTACTACAGGAAAACATAGGAAAAGTTTTTGTGATGTTGAGTTAGGTGAAAGAGTTCTTAGATTCAACCCAAAATGCATAATTTATAAATGGAAAAATTTGATTTTGTCAAAATTAAGAATGTCTGTTCTCTGATGACACTGTTACAAAAATGAAAACACAACCTACAGACTCAGAGAAAATATTTGCAAGGCACACAACTAATAAAGGACTTGAATCTAGACTATATGAAAAAAAAACTAATAAAACTCAGTAAGAAATGAAATGACAATTTAAAAACAAACATAATGTTTGAACAGTCACTTCACCAAAGATGATTATGTATGGTACATAAACAAATGAAAAGTTGCTCAACATCAGTATCATTTGGGAATGCAAGTTAAAACCACAAGAAAACACTATTATAAAACTATTAAAATGACTGAAATGGCTAGCGTTTTTTAATCTAACAGTACCAAATACTGACAGAGATATGTGCATTACTCCATTCTCACACTGCTATAAAGAACTTTCCGAGACTGGGTAATTTATAAAGGAAAGAGGTTTAATTGACTCACCGTTTTGCATGACTGGGAGGCCTCAGGAAACTTACAATCATGGCAGAAGGTGAAGGGGAAACAAGGACCTTCTTCACATGGCAGCAGGAGAGAGAAGAGTGAGAGAAGGAGGAACTTGCCCAACACTTATGAAACCATCAGATCTTGTGAGAATTCACTCACTATCACGAGAACAGCATGGGGGAAACTGCCCCATAATCCAATCACCTCCCTCCCTTGACATGTGGGGATTACAGGTCCTTTCCTAGACATGTGGGGATTACAAATCAAGATGAGATTTTGGTGGAGACATAGAGCCAAATGATATCAACATGTGTTACTGAAACACCAGGGGTTTGGTCTAGGTCCTGCTACTTGCTGCGCAGAAAGCCAATGACTGAGATGATGAGTATTGCCAAAGAAGCAGGTTTTAATCAGGTGTTGCACCCGGGAAATGGGAGCTGTCTCAAATCTATCTCTTTGATCAATTAAAACTAGGGGTTTACATAACAGGGAAGACATGTAAGAATGTATAAGAACACAGAAACTAGGGAGAAACAAGGAAGCAATAATGATGAATGAGGGGTCTGCATCTTATTGTCTGGATGTGGTGATCTATGGAGTTTCAGTTCTTTGATACTTTTTTTTGAGAGGCCTGAAGGTGGTTTCCTCAGGAGGGAAATCAGATAAAACAAACTATAAAGTTCAAGCTCCAAGACCAGAAGGGTCAATTTTCCATGTTTATTTAAAGAAAAGAATCTATGGGACTATTGGGTTTCATATGGAGCAACTGTATTTCTGGTGAGAATGCAAAGTGGTACAGCCACTTTGGAAAACAGTTTGGATGTTTCTTATAAGCTACACTTACCATACAACCCAGCAGTTCTACTGCTATGTGTTTATCTGTGCTATGTGCCTTTCTGTATAGACTATGAAAACCTTTACAGAAACCTATAGACAAAGATTTATAGAGACTTTATTTACAAACTCCAGAAAGTGGAATAAACAAACTATAGTATATTAATACAGTGAAATATTACTCAGCAATAAAAAGAAATAAACATTGAGTCAGGAGTTCAAGACCAGCCTGGGCAACATAGCAAGACCTCTATGAAAAAATTTAGAACTTAGCCAGGCATGATGGCACATGCCTACAGTCCCAGCTACTTGGGAAGCTGAAGTGGAAGGACTGTTTGAACTATGGAGGTCGAGGCTGCAGTGAGCTATGGTGGCACCACCGCACTCCAGCCTGGGTGACAGAGCAAGACCCTGTCTCAAAAAAAGAAAAAGAACAAACATTGATACAAGCAATAATGAATTCCATTAAATTATCGTTGGATGAGGCCATGTGCTCTGGCTCACGCCTGTAGTCCCAGCACTTTGGGAGGCCGAGGCAGGCAGATCAAGAGGTCAGGAGATCAAGACCATCCTGCTAACATGGTGAAACCCCGTCTCTACTAAAAATACAAAAAATTAGCCGGGCGTGGTGGCAGGTGCCTGTAATCCCAGCTACTTGGGAGACTGAGGCAGAGAATGGCATGAACCTGGGAGATGTGAATGGTGTGAATCTGGGAGGCAGAGCTTGCAGTGAGCCAAAATCATGCCACTGCACTCCAGCCTGGGCAACAGTGCGAGACTCCGTCTCAAAAAAAAAAAAAAAATTGTTTTTGGATGAAGCTCAAATGTATTATGCAAGTGGAAGAAACATTATGCAAGTCGGGCACGGTGGCTCATGCCTGTAATCCCAGCACTTTGGGAGGCTGAGGTAGGTGGATCACCTGAGTCAGGAGTTCAAGACCAGCCTGGACAATATGGTGAAACCCCATCTCTACTAAAAATACAAAAATTAGCTGGGCATGGTGGCAGGTGCCTGTAATCCCAGCTACGCGGGAGGCTGAGGCAGGCAGAATTACTTGAACCTGGGAGGTGGAAGTTGCAGTGAGCTGAGATTGCACCACTGCACTCCAGCCTGGGCGACAGTGTGAGACTCCATCTCAAAAAAAAAAAAAAAAAATTGTTTTTGGATGAAGCTAAAATGCATTATGCAAGTGAAGAAGCCAGAATCAAAAGACTGCATAATGTGTGATTCAGTTTACATGCCATTCTTGCAAATTTAAAACAGTACAGACAGAAACAGATCAGTGATTATCAGGAAATGGGGGTGGAGAGAGGGATTGACTGCAAAGAGTCACAAGACAATTTGGGGTGGTGAAGGAATTATGCTATATGTAGACTGTGATGGGGGTAACATGATGGCACATGTAAAAACTCTCAGCGCTGTACAGTATAAAGGATGACTCTTACTGTATGTAAATTATACCTTAATTTTTTTAAAAAAGGAAGTTGAGGATAGACACTTTGATTTTCCAGGTAAAGATCTTACAATAAGATAAAATTGTACTTTAATGACGCTAATGGCCAAAAAAGAAAAAGAAATTGTTTGCAATTTATGCCTGTAAAAAATTTTATTACGATCTACATAGTTATAATTTGCCATGTTAAAATTTTTGCCAATTCTGTGAGGAATCTTGCGTTACAAAACACCAATAGGTTGAAGGTTAAACCTAATCTGTCTATAAAAGATTGAGGCTGCACAGTTCAAAACAACTGCTTAATTGAATTTAATTCACTATTGTAAAAGGGGTTGAGTTTTTTATTTGATTCTCCACTTGGTCACTGTTGGTGTAGAGAAGAGCTACTGATTTGTGTACATTTATCTCATATCTGGAAACTTTGCTGAATTCTTTTATCAGTTCTAGGAATTTTCTGGAGGAGTACTTAGGGTTTTCAAGGTAAATGATCATATCATCAGCAAACAGTGACAGTCTGACTTTCTTTTTACTGATTTGGATGCCCTTTATTTCTTCCTTTTCACTGATTGCTCTGGCTAGGACTTTCAGTGCTATGTTGAAGACAAGTGGTGAGAATGGGGATCCTTTTCTTGTTCCCATTCTCAGAGGGAATGCTTTCAACATTTCCCCATTCAGTATTATGTTGGCTGTAGGTTTGTCATAGATGGCTTTTATTACGTTAAGATGTGTCCCTTGTATGCCAATTTTGCTGAGAATTTTAATCATAAAGGGATGCTGGGTTTTGTCAGATGCTTTTCCTGCATCTGTTGAGATGATCATGTGATTTTTGTTTTTAATTATGTTTATGTGGTGTATCACATTTATTGACCTGCATATGTTAAACCGTCCCTGCATCCCTGGTATGAAACCCATTTGATCATGGTGGATTATCTTTTTGATATGTTGTTGGATTCAGTTAGCTAGTGTTTTGTTAAGGATTTTAGCATCTTTGTTCATCAAGGATATAGGTCTGTAGTTTTCTTTTTTGGTTATATCCTTTCCTGGTTTTGGTATTAGGGTGATGCTGGCTTCATAGAATGAATTAGGGACAGTTCCTTCTTTCTCTATCTTGTGGAATAGTGTCAAAAAGGTTGGTGCCAATTCTTTAAT